CACTTAGCTCGAAAACTTGAACGACATTTAAGCATTGGCCGATGTCAGTGTTGCTCTTCGCCCCACCTCTTACCACGCATCATGTTGCAACAGCAGCAGCAGCAGCAACAGCAAACGAACACGAAATGAGTGAGACAAGTGGCAAACTGATATTCCTTTGCTTGTTTGGCAGCAAACGAAATTTGATTTTATGCGAAAACAATTTGCATCTTAATTGACTGCCACATACCATGCCACATGCAGCAGTCTACAGGAGCAGGCTGGTAAAAGGGGAATGCCAGGAGTCTGTCAACGATTAATCAATGATGTGGCCAGAAGCAGAATCTATGGCTGGAAGAGTTCTTCGTAATTACTTTTGATTGTTTGGCCTCAGAGTTTTACGGGTATTTATTTGAATATTTTGGATACCTTCAGATGTTTCTTTAAATGTTCTTGAATTAATGGCGTAAGAGCCATGCTCGGTAATTTATTTATTCTGGTAAATCCAAGAGATTTTCCTGCCCTTTTGCTATCGTTTCTATATGTATCTCTATCTCTCTATATGCGTCAGATATTAACAAAATATTTCTTAAATTTGCAGCATTCCAATTCAGGGGGGAATTCTCATTCATTCTCATCCACCCACCCGCTGCCATATCTCTGGCCATTCAAATGGAGCTGCTCGCTCTGGAAATATGTTCATTCCCACATCCACAGACCATTTTCCGTTTTCTTTGTCTGTCAGCTCCACGCCCTCATCGCCAAAACACATGCACCACGCCCATAGAGAAGGCGTCGGTTACATCTCTTTTCCCATTTTTCCATCTTTCCATTTTCCTTTCCTTTTCAGATGTTTTTTTTTTTGTAGCATTTACAAATTATGCTCATATAAATTTTTATAAAACATTTCTGCCGTTGCCATTTTATTTTATGTTTCTTTTTGTTACAACTGCGACTCACACCCATACCCACACACACACACACAAACACATAAACACTCCCACACAGCCATGGAGAACATTGGCGCACAAAAGTAGGCAACGAAAGGCGGCAAATGCCTTCTCCTGCGCTCGGGGTCGGTCGGTGGCAAAAATGAAGAGCAATTCACACTTGAAAACTTTCAACATGCGTTTTTAAGTTGCCCCAAACAACTATTATAGGGTGTTCTCTGTTGGCAGATACATATACTCCCAGTCCCAGTCGCAGTCGCTGTTGCTGTTGCTTGTTCCTTCCTGGGTTTTCCAGCTGAACCTCTGAATATTAAGCGGAATGTGTTTATATGACGCAGTTTTCGTAGGCCATAAAAAAGGGTTCGGTGCGGTGCGCCTTTGGCCTGTTTATTTGCTGGCTAAGCTGGCTAATTTAATATGCATAAATGCCGGCACATGTTTCATAAATGGCATTTTAAAGCGGGGTTCGGTATCCAAAAATGGCTTCATTATCAGGGCTCTCTCTTTATCTCTCTCCATTGGAATGCCCTGAAATACATGTATGGCTGAGATGTGTGTGTGTGTGTGCTTAAACTTCCGGGATATGCAGTCGAGGCCGGATGAGAACAAATGTATTTCCGCCTGGTAACAGGGGCAGCAACAAAACTGTTGCATGTTTGTGTCCTCCGGCAGAGATTCCCAAACAATGGACTCGGAATTAAATGCCATAATTAAACCGACTGCCGCCAGGCATCAGAGCCCTGGCGATAAGCCATAGTCCGGAGTTTGGAGTCTGCGGACCTCAGTCCACGGCCTGACAGTTAGACGCCGAGCAGACAACAGCTGTTTAAACTCTTTGCCACAAAAGTGCCACTCAGAGTGAGTTTTCCCGCACCCCCTGCAGACCCCTGGACACTTGTCTGCCTTGGCACTGAGACAATGGTGTCCCTTCTCCGTTACTCTCATCCCATGCTCATCCGCGGCTTGTGCCTGTCATTTTTATCTTTTGCCATTGTCATTCGCACAATGCCCGAAAATGGGTGTGTGTGTGTGTGTGTGCCCCTCCCACTCTCTGTCAGTGTCGTGTCTCTCTTTGTGTGCTTCATCCTGTTTTCGGTATTTCATCAAATTGATTTGTCTTCAAAGCCCTACCCTACCCTACCCTACTCCCTGCCAACTCTAGTAGCCACCCACTCTGTGAGGCAATTTACATTTTGAGGCATTTGAATTGCGTGGCACGTTGTTGCCTATTCGAATTATGTCAATAGAATCGCGTCTCCAATAAATGTCAACGGTGGCAGGCAGGCACTCGATTGATGGGACGAGTAGACAGAATAAACAGCCACGCAGCAGCTTGTATTTACTGCTGCTCTGCTGAAGCAGTACTCTGTCGGAATATTAGGTGTGGAAATGTGTTCAGTAGTGAGCCACCTTAGCTATAGTTTTTTTGAGGATATATTTTAAGCCAGGCTCCAGGTGCAGGTTATTGCTCCCAATCATAAATTTCCTCCGACATCAAACGTTCACCCGACTACACATTCGAACGCCCGCCCTTTAGAATACCCTAATACTTGACTACACTTAATTGTCAGGTGCGAGTATTTCCTTAGCTCTCGGGGGTTAAGTGGCTCCATTTCAGACAGTTAAAATCCCCGCTGTGCACTTGGACCCCCGCTCGAACGGGCATAGAGCGTTTTGTTGGCATTGCCTGGTTAACATTTAATGGCCACACTTTGACTAGCCAAATGGTGGCCCTAAGTCCGGGACTCGCTTCGAGACAACATGTTTACGGCACTTTACGGCCATTGCCATTCCGTTGGCTGCACCCCCAGGCGATGGCGGCAGCGGCATGGGGCAGGGCAGCCATTAGAGTAATAAAAAGAAATTATAAAATAATATTAACAATCCAGCAAAGAACGGCAAGCCATTTAGAGCCGGACATGGAGCCAACAAAGTGTATAAAATGTAGTGAAAAAAAAGGGAATACCCTTGGCATTTTACATTTATGGTTATGTGTGGGTGCTGCTGCTGTTGCTGCCACATATGTATGCACATGCTCCCTGCCACTCCCTCCCAGCGGTTGCACAGAGCCTGCATTAAAAGAGCACGTGCAATTAAGACCAGCAGCAGCAGCAGCAGCAGTATCGTCCTTGTCGTCCAACTAATTGGCCAAGCTGTAAAGCAAAAAGCAAAAAGGCTTGGCAACTTTGTTGGTCCATAACTAAATTTGTTTGTTTGCTGTTGTTGCTTGCCCTGCCTAAGGCTGGTCCGACCGCCCGCCCACTCATACGGCTCCTCCAACAATTCTTCTACGTAACCTGACCACAAAAAGCTTTTAATCCTGCGAGCAACTGCGGCTACAGAGTCGTAAAACCTTATCATAATCTACATACTGCGAGCAAGAGTAGGAGTACGAGTATGGTTATGGATATGGATATGGATATGGAGGGGATGAGTAAAGTCTATGCGACTATGGAGATAATGTAATGTATGATGCAGCTTGCAAGATCTAAAGAGAGATTATAAAAATCAGAAAGCTGAAAGCATTAGTTAGAATATATCTCTTTCTGGGGCTAAGCCCGCTCTCTTTTGACGGTCGTTTCTGTAAGCTCGCTCTCCTCTGATTACATTTTCTCTTTGTGATTCTTAGATTTGTCTCTTTTGCAACAATGGAAGCTCATAAATACTTTGGCTACTCTCTTGGTGATGGCTTTTTAATCGTTTATTTGCATGGATTGTTTCGGAATACCATAACCGATTTTCAGCAACATTTATACATAGAGTAAACACCATTCGCAACACTGCAGCAAGCGCTGTGTCCTTTCAACACAATTCATGGTGACATATATCTCACTTAACATTCCATACAACACATGCCCCAACACCAACACCAACACTCGCCCACATGCATACATTGGTATCTATTACTCAACAAAAGCCACAAGCCGACACAAACAAGCCATTCATGGGGATGGCGAAAAAAAGGCAAAAAATAGGAAGAACTTTTATAATAAAATTATTTGTTTGGGCACAGAAATAGACAACTTTTCAGCCATACATTTCATTTGTGCGAAATGTCACTCCAGGGCATACTTTTTGCCAAACAACAGCAAGGACAGCAATAGAAGGACCAAATGTTTGGCAAAATTCTCTCTCCCTCCTGTGCAGTATGTATGTATGAATGTGTGTATGTAGGTACTGCTCTTACAGGTCTTTTTGGTTCCATTTCAATGCCAGGCCCAACAATTAAACACTTCCTCGGAGGAGCAACGCAGAGGAGCAGCAGAGCAGCAGAGCATCAGTGGGAGGAAGTAGGGTAAACATTTGCATTTAAATAAAAATAAAAATGCATTGCATTTTGTTGGCGCTTTTCATTAGCCCATCGCTCTCTGCTGTCTCCCGTCTCCCGCCTCTGGCTCCCTCTCTTCTTTTGCACTGTCATCTGCCTTTGTGTGTACCATCTCTGTCTCTGTCCCCGTCTCCTTCTCTGTCTGGCACCCAAAGTGACTTTCAATGTAAACGTCAGAGCTTTGTGCCGTTGACATTTGTACGCCGCCAGACGACAGGGGCCGCCGGAAAGGGAATGGAAAGAAAAGACGACGACGGCAACAATTTACGATAAACATCTCAGCGGCATGCAAATCCCTTTTAGGAATTGCACGGCAGAGCACTCCAGCTGAAGAGCTGCAGGGAAAAATGAATGCAGAGGTGGCGCAAGTATAGCACAGAGGAGGACACAGGGCGACGGCATTCAGAGGATTTTGCTGACGACCAGGAATTAACCATCAAGCGGAATCTGCACTTTACTTCCCCGCATTCCATTCGAGTTGCGAGTTGCCATTTTAAATAAAACATTTAAAGAAAACTGAGGCAAAGCTGCCTTTATTCACACAAATCACAATAAAAGGCAATTAAGCTGAGAGAAAACACCAGTCCAGGAAGGGGATATCTGTACCCCACCGCTCTATGTTCCAAGGAGAATAGTTCCAAGCTGGATAAGCCAAAGAGCAAATCATGGAATCTCCATTTAAGCAGATTAGTTGTGAAGATCCCATTACGATTCCCCCCTCCCACACAATTCAACAACCACCACATAGATGACATGCCAAATGGTTTTATTTAAAATTATGCCAAAATACGCCTCTTCCTTCGTTTGGTATCCAGGCCAGTTGTTCGGGCTCAGAGCTTCCCTGGCGCATCGCGCTCACCAGCCCCTGTGCTTTCTCCGCCAGTAGGCCCACATGTCGCAGATCGAGCATTTCATGGCGGACTCACAGACCGGAAGCGGCTCCAGGAGCGGATGCTTGCGACACTCCGAGAAGCTCGGGTACTTGGTGGCTCGCTTGGTGCAGCACGAGGCCCGTAAGTAGAATTCGCACGAGGGAGGGTTCCGTGCAGGTCTGCAGTGGGGCGCAGAGAACTTGCAGCAGGGCATGACGCATGACTGAACGTCCATCAACTGATCTGGCTTGGCACGGGCTCTTACGGTAGCCGGTTCTTCCGGCTGGCACGCCGTCTGGGGCCTGTACATCGTGACGCGGGATCGTCTCGCCCGCATCGGATAGATCCTCTTCATCCGCACGTAGGGCAGCGGCTCGGGATAGCACTCCGACCAGTTGCGCTGATACCTGCGCTTGGCCTTGTCGCTCGGCTTGTATTTGGTGAGGTCCCGGGGCAGGGGCTCGTGGCCACAGGGATCGTCGTCGCACACGGGCGCCACGATCCTTTGCGGGCATTTGTACTCTGTGCGCCGCAGGGCCATGTAGCAGGGCAGCACGAACGCTTTTTTCTGCTTCAGGCGCATCTGCCGCATTTTCAGCTTCTGTTCGGTGGTGAGCGTCCTGCTCAGCACAGACGCCGTGTGGGCGGGCATGGGCATGGGAATGGCCAGCAGCCGTCCCACAAGGCTTTGCAGAATACTCATCACAGCGGCGTGTACAAACAGGAATTTAAAACGGTATCCAAAAGCAGCCAGAAACGGGACAAAGGAAGACGAGAATTTTGAGATGTTCAAGACCCAAACGACAACATCTGAGTGAGCCGAATCGGTAGCTATCAGGGGCTGGGCTAGGAGCTGTACGACTGCGCCTACTAGAAGCCTTTCACCAGTCGTTTCTAAAGTCGCTTCCTGGAGTAGTTCATCATCTCGCAGAGTGTGGATGCCAGGCAGCGACACTCACAGGGCTTGGCTTCATTCCGCTTGTGGAAGCACTCGGAGAAGCTGGGGTAGAGGGTCAGACGTCGCCGGCATTTGGATAGCTTTCGGGCGCGCCGGCAGGTGGTGTTGCCGGCCGGAGGCGGACAGTGACACAGCCTCGCCCGCGGGCACTTTCGGTTAATGTAATCCGCCAGCTTTTTGCATTCGAGGCGAACATGGACGTGGCACACCCTCTTGAGGAGTTCGTCGCACTTCTTTTTTGGCGTCCGCTTCGATACTTCCGCCGGCAGGACACGGATTTTGCGTCTCGGCTTCCTGTAGACGCACTCGGCCCAGTGCTGCTGGTAGTCGCGGTGCAGGCTACGACTCGGCCTGTACATGGTTTTGTCGAGGCGCTCCCCGCACGAGTGGAGACACTTGACCGAGGGTCTGTACGGCGGATCGCAGCGCATGTAGACACCCAGCGAGCTGCGCGGCTCCATGGCCAGCTCCTCATCCGTCTTGCATTTCGTCGGCCGCTTAAAGTACTTGGCTCTAACTACGGCAACGGGATGACACACGGGCTTGTTGACCGCACGAAACTTGCAGCTCGGAATCGGCTCCCAGTCGTCGCCGCTATGGCTGCTCCATCCAGCTTTGGCCATGATCTGGACCCTGTGCGTCGTGGCGAGTAGGCGCCGCATTCCACAGAGAAATTTGCAACGGATGGGAACGGCGTTGATGAGCATGACGAGGACCTTAAACGAAAATTTTGACAATGCAGCCCGAAACTACCGGAATTCCAGTTACAGATCTCAGCTGTGGTGTGTACAGACAGTTAAGTGAGTGGTAGCCCGATTGATGGTGTGGAATCGGATTTGGGAAAAGGGCTAGGGCGATACGGGGGCAAGTATTCCCCAGGCAAGCATAGGCAATTGAAATAGCTACGATTCAGACATGAAACATTCAATTTTGGTAGACTAGAAAATAATGAATCTTGTCTGTTACTCGGGAATCTCCTATGGTATTGCTTTCCGTGTATTATCTTATCTATCTAGGCCAGGGGTCGGCACACAGACTCACACATTTTTTTGGTGCGTTTGTGTGCGAAAACAACAGACACGAAGTCAAATACGTTACTTATTTCTCTGCCGCTGCGAAAGCCGAAGAATTGTGCATAGGGCCCATGAATGCTTCTCTGCTGCTGAGGCAAGCGAGCAGAATATGAAGCCGTTTGTGCATAGCCCGAAGCACTTTTCTCTGCCGCTACGTCATCAGACAGAATAACGAAACCACACGAAGTATTTACGCTGTACGTGTGCCGACTGCGCTGCCGGAAATTTTTTCCTATGCACAGTGCATACGACGCTGCCGGCCTCTGATCTAGGCCCTTTGTATTTCTCTCCTTCTTGTATGTCTCATCTCTTTTGTCGTCTGTATACTGTGTACTGTACCATGCTCTGCGATGGTGAGTATGATGCAATTATACAATTCCCTCTCTTTCGGTTCTTATACATACTCACACACATCCAATTCATCATCACTCACACACCTGCAGTCACAGTGAAGTTTTTTGCTGTAATTGCATTTGTACGAGCAAAATAGGCCCCGAAAAAAAAGCGCAGTGCGAGAATGGCCCACCTTGTATATTTTCATAATGTTGCTGAGTGTGCGTGCGAAGTGATTGATATATAATTAAGAATTGCCTCTCAGGCAAATTAGCTTAGAGCTTAGCACAACTGGGAGAGCAGTTGCTTTCTAGAGTTGGAGCCCACACCGCCGTAATGCTGCAGTAATTAGCCAATTGCGTGGCTCTTGTTGGAAAATGACGGAACAGCAAAATAAAACACTGACCCGGCCTAAGCAAAATATCTCTTAAATTAAAGTGAAACCAGTAACTATGTAGTATTTTATTTGTTTTTTTTTTTGGAGGCGGCTTTGTGATTTTGTAACATGTCGCAATAGCCTTGACAATTGGCCACCCCCCTCCAGCGGAGGAGCTGCGTGCTCGACCCAAATGGATTTTCCTTGTTGATTCTCGTTCGTTTTTTGTGAACGCTTCGCTGCCTTGCCCGTAGCGGTACCCTCCGATTCGGCGGGTCCTTCGGAACAACAATACTCGTAATAAAGAAAAAATAGACATCACAAGCCTGCAAGCTGCATGCATTTCCCCTACGCCTACCCCTACACTCTTTCCCCTCTTGCCCTTCTCGGGTGACTGTTTAATGCAAACAGAGCGCAGCGGCGAAACGACAGTACGGAACGGAACGGAACGGAATGGTGGATAAACAAAGGGGTGGGGGGTGGGGGTTGGGTTAATCCAAAAAACCTCTGAAGCTCTCAGGGCCGTTTTCGCTTTTACGCCGATATTTTTATTGGACTCCGCCAGTGTGCACTGGCCGTGCATGCATGAGGGCCCCCACCCCTCATAAAATTGGGTCAATTGCCGTTAACAATTTGGCAGCGCAATCTTTCGGCCGTTTCGATTTCAAGGCTTTCTCGCCGCCCCTCAACCTCCCAAGCCCAGCCTCTGGCCAGCCTCCGCTTCAGATCCAATCACAATCTCAACCAAAAATACAAAAAAATGTTGTGGGGTGGGGTGGGAAACAAAGGGCATAAAAAGCAAGCACGTACGAGAAAACCTTTTGAAAAAACAATTTCCTCATAGAGTTGTTGTGAAAGCAGAGGGGCCATGAGGCGCGAAACTGGCGCTGCACTCCTCCAGCCCCTCCCCACCAAGTGCAGGCTACAAAAGGGTAGCAGAATGGGTAGGGGGAACTGGCAATGGTTGTTAAAAAGCGAACGCTAATTAATTAGAGCATTTTGTTTGTTATTCATTTGAAAACTTTGAACTTTTCGAGCGGCAGTGGTTGCGATCCACTTCAGAGATGCTTTAGTTTCGGTCAGTCCAAACGATTGAGGGGAGCTCTGAATGGGTAGGGACGCGACTCATTAAACTTACAGCTGGTCCTCCCTTGGATCACCTTTCATTTCCATTTCCATTGAATTTAGTGCGCAATTTCCCAGAGGGAAAGTCTTAAACTGGAGCAAGGGATCTATAGAGACTTTCTATACAGCATTTTTTCCCCAAACTATTCTCTCTTAAGATAGCTGCTTGGATTGTTCGGCAAACAAATTCAAGAAGTGGGAGCTGTACAGTGCAAATACGAGTATGTACGAGCATCCAAGTGTATTGCGCTCTTTCTTGACTTCTGTGTTGCCTTTGAGCGCGGCTGCAGATTGAGTAACTGGCAGGAACAAAATAGGAGCACTCTCTCTGGAGCAGCTCCTCTTAAAGCACAAATGCACTCCCGGGGCTGGTTTTGTGTGCTGCACTGTGAAAGTTGGCAGTGAGACTACGACGACGACGACGACGACTACGGAATGATTTCATTTACTTGCAATCAATGAAATTGCACTGATGCAATTTTGTTTTGGTCCAAAATAAACAGGCAACTGGAAGGGGAACAGCGGGGACTCCGATCTCTGGGTGCTGGGACTGCGATTGAGATGTGCGACTCGTTCTGGGAATAGTAAAGAGAAGGGCGGAAAAGTAACAGAATAAGCAGAGCAGTAAAAGCAACTGCCAATAGAGTGGGCAGAGTGGGTGGCAGGGCAGCAGGGCAGCAGGGCAGCACGGGAACAACTGTCTGTCACGTGCGTGTGGCAGCCAGGACAGCAGTTGGTAACCGAGTGGAGCTAATGCTCGGCGACAGGCCAGCCAGCGGAACTGGAGCGTCTCTATTCCCCCAGCTGGCGGAATTTCTCATATCGCAGCCAGACACGTAGACGACTGTCCCGCTCCTATACGGAAAAGTTCGCGCTGAGGCATTGACATTAGGACTGGGATTCTGTACGGATATGGGATACGGAGACAGTCAGGGAGAGATTTGTGAAAAATGTCAGGGAAACGCTGCGCCAGACTCGAAAAATGAGTAGGAAGCGGAATCGAGGTAGGTGAGTGTGTCCGTCCAGGAGCACGAGCCAGTCGAAATAACTTCCCGAACGTTGCCTGCCAAAATCCGACAGCCCAACGCCAACACAGGATGAGGAGCAGCCGGGGACAAGTGGGAACAGTGGGAGCAGCAGGCAAAGGACGTTGACCGGAACTGGACTGGGGCAGGAACGGAGCGTGGACCAAAATGGGGAGCGAGCAGACGTCCCAGATGAGGGTGAGTCAAGCCACAGGGTGCCTGATCCACCACCGGCCACGGTGGATTTCGTAATCCCCACAGATCCGCCGCCCACGAAGAAGCGGAATCGGAGTCTGAGTCCGACAAAGGCCAGAGCCTCCATGGACTTAACCCATCATCAGCACCCTGTCGTCGCGGAAACGGACCGACCACACATGCTCGACTTTCAGCTGGAGAGCGATCCACGGCCCAAGCGGAGGGATACCGACGCCAAGAGCAAGACGCCTAAGAGGAGGATTCGGGTGCCCCATATCCTGGTGCAGGCAGACGCCCCCGAAGCGCCGCGCCTAATGGACACTGGAGTGAGCACCGACTCGCAGCGAGTGCGGAAGGCGCCATCTGCCATCGAACCCATCTCAGAGCTGCCCTACGTGGAACCAGTGTACATCCTGGTGCAGGCGGAAAGGCCACAGCCGCCTCGACTGGTGGACACGGCGGTGGGCACCGATCCGGGCCGAGCTCACAGTAATCCTTCAGCAAGACGGCACCCGACCAAGCCGTCTGCCCATGTCAAGGATCGCGCGCAGCCCGTCGACGAGAGCGACATCGATGAGGGGTCCAGCAATTACAGTTCCAGCCACGAGTCGGCGCTGTACGACATTGAGGACCACGAGATCCTGATCACCAAGACGGAGAAGGTTTACAAGAAGAGTAAGTCGCCGCGGCATGACATGTTCGTTGTCTAAGGGTGGGCTTTGGCTTCTTGCAGGACCCGACAAGGTGCTGCCGCTGGATGATTCCGACGAGTCGTTCGATGCGTTCAGCTCGAGGAGCCCGCAGCAGCAGCAGCAGCAACGCATTTCAAAAGACTCGCGAGCTTACGAGGAGCATATGGACTCAGATGCCCCCCCTTCGATCGACAACATGATGATGGCGCAGTACACCGACCTGAGCGATACGAGCACCAGCAGCTCCAGCAAACGAAAGGGCACCCCAGGCCTGGGCCTGGGCCTGGCCGGCAACAACCTGGCCTCGGGCTATGTCTTTGTAAGTGAGTGAACAGCGCTTGCAGTCCCGCTGAGAGTAATCCGACCAAAAACAAAACCACAACATCCCATCACAACAGATCTACATGGTGATACCGCCCGACGGGGGCTACGGCTGGATTGTGCTCGTGCTCAGCTTTCTGGCGCAGCTGATCGTCGACGGGATTGTGTTCTCCATTGGCATCCTGCTGCCCTTCATGGCCAAGGACTTTGAGGCGAACGATTCGCGGATTGTGTTCGTGGCCAGCATACAGATCGGCTGCTACTTTATGGGCGGCGCCTTCTCGAGCGCCCTGATCAACAGCTACGGCTTTCGGCCGGTGGCCATGACCGGAGTGATCATCTCGGCCCTGTCCATACTGGCGGCCAGCTTCAGCCCGAACCTGGCAATGATGATCGTGTTCTACAGCATCATTGGTAGGTAGCATCTCGCTCCCTCCCCCGAGCACCGACTATAAACACCGCAGGTCCCAACCCGCAGGTGGTCCGGCCCTGAGCATGATCTGGGTAAGTTCGCAGCTCATCATCGGCTACTACTTTGAGCGGTATCGGGCCCTGGCCAGCGGCTTCTCGTGCTCGGGCGCTGGAGCCGGCATTGTGGTCTTCTCGTTCCTCAACAGTTGGCTGGTGCCGCTGATCGGCTGGCGGAACGTGCTGAGGGTGCACGTCTGCCTGCTTCTGTGCATACTGATGATTGCCTGCGCCTACGTGGAGGTGGCGCCCACACAGGTGGGCGTGCTGAACAGACCCGCCGGCCTGATGGAGTCCAGCTCCGAGGAGTACTACGGCAACTTCTATGTGCACAATTTTCTGCGCGACTCCCACTCGAGACTGGGCTCCCAGACCATCCTGGAGACGTACGAGCCGCACCCGAAGCGAGCGGCCTTCTTTCGACGCATCTCGCCCTGCTGCACGAGGAAGGAGCAGGACGACGAGGAGCGGCCCTTGGACGAAGACCGAAACCTAGTGATCCGCACGGATCCGATTCTGCGCGAGGATCTCTTCTACACGGGCCCCGTTGAATACGACAAGCCCCACAGCACGGAGCAGGTGGAGGGCAAGGAGATGCAGCTGTTGGGATCGGCCCAGCATGTGAGTGCCTCCGCCCGTTGGGCGTCTCTACTTGGGACACAATAATCTCGTCCTCGATTCACTCCCTTCACAGACCCAAAAAGCCACCTACGGCATAGCCCATATTCAGGGCTACACCAGCGACGACAAGAAGAAGCTGACCGGCCCGGGACAGGATTCGCCGGGCAGTCCGATGTCATACGATGAACGTCCCGGCAAATCAGCTAGTCGCATTCGCATGGCCAGGAGACGACCGCTCAAGAAGCGCCACTGGCTGCACAACAAGATTGTGAAGGCCCTCAACAGGCTGTTCGACTACCACCTGCTGGAGTCGTTCGAGTTCCGGGTGCTGGTGGCGTCGGCCTTCTTCTACCCGATGGGCTTCAACATACCCTTCGTCTACTCCAAGGCCCGCACGGATATTCCGAGCGAATATGCCAACCTGATTGGACCTGCCATCGGCTTCATGAACTTTGCCATGCGCATCAGTTGCGGCTTCGCGGCCTACAAGCTGCGCGGCTGCACCACCTACATCTGTGGCGGTGGCATGTTCTTTGGGGGCTTCTTTGTGTTCATCAGCGCCTTCTTCGGCTCCGATATTGTCTGGTTCCAGCTGCTGTACGGCTTGTGCTATGGCGTGGCACCAGGTGAGCAACCTGCCCTCCCTCTGCCCACTCGTACTTACCACATCTCATCTCTGATTGTCAGCTGTGTACGCCACCCTGCGGGCCCTCATCTATGTGCGATACCTGGGACTTTCGAAGCTGACCAATGCCTTTGGGATTACTGCTCTGGCCATGGGCATGGGCGTCTTTATTGGCACCACTATGGGTGGCATTCTGGTGGAGGCCACCCAGGGATACTCGGCTGCCTTTGCCATGGCCGGGTTCTGCATTATGCTGTCTGGCAGCCTGAAGCTCCTACTGCCCACTATGGTGAGGCTGCACAAGCGGAAGCAAACGCCAAGGCACTCCTATCAGTCACAGAGGACTCAGTGAGAGTCAAAGGAACAAAAGCTCCATCATTTAGAAGGCAAAGCGACAGAACTATCCAAGAGAATTCATCTGGAACTATTCCAGCAAGGTTATCTATGGCAAAATCAAACGAAATGAGGTGGCAATGCAGATCAGTGGAGAGATATCAAAAGAATCAAAATAACACAATTTATTGTAGGCTCTTCTCAGAGAGCTCAGATTCGATGAGGATCGAGAGGCTAGTTTGGAAATGGAATCAGAGAACAGAATAAAAGACGTGCGAGTATTAGTAAGGAGAATTGTTTGTGACTCCCAAAACTCTGGACTCTGGCAACTACCAATCAGATTTCATGTGTTTCGGTTTTGTGGTTGACTTTTATTTGCAATCCATTTAATGTTATCAATTAGCTTAGTTTACATCTAATATTAGCTTAGTTGCTGAACCACAAACACCAAACACACATGCACATACGCACATACACAGTGTGTATTACACACGCACACACACAGCCCACACACACTCCGGTATACTGTTGTGCGTCTGTAGTGCGCAGTGTGGTGTTGTTGTTGTTGTTGCATTTGGTTTGGTTTTCTTTTGGGGGTTTTCTTTGGGCTTGCTCTGGTTGGGTTTCCTTGTCTTGGGTATATGCAAATGTTCACGCTTGTTGTTTAATTTGATTTGCTTTCTATGCCTTTGTACGTCTACTGTTTATCTTTTTCTTATACGTTTTGTTTTTGTTTTGTTTTTGTTTTATAATATATTCTGTTGTTGCTGTTGATTTTTACATATTATTTAGAGCTAAAGCAACTGAAAGTCGAATCCAAATGAGGCTGAAATCAAAAATAGTTAAATTTCGAACTGCTGCAGGCCTGATGTTGGGTTTCCTTCGGCCTCCCCTTCTGCCACCTGTCTTTGTCTAAATCCTTTTTGTGTTAAATATTGTCAGTAGTCTTCCCCTCCGTCCTCTCTGTTTCATATGCAATTTATTCCAGTTATCCACTCTCCTTTATCCACGCCGCTTTATCCATTCTCTGGCATGGCGGTGTTTGCTGCTTTAAAATCAATTTCGTATCGTAATCTAAATTAAAATTAAAATCTCATTTCGGTGCAGGTATCCTCCGTATCCGAATCCTGCTTCTCCTTCTCTCCCCCTGTTCCTTGGTGCTTCTTTTTGCACAGAAAAAGCAATTCTTACGCCGTAAATTAAAATTATATTTATATCGCCTGCGCCTGCTCCACTCCGGGGCTCGTTCATGTGTCGGAGTCGGACCTGCGGCGGGAGGCGGGAGGGTTATATGAATAGAATATTAACTAGGTGCCCGGACAGATTGCTTCTCCTTCTGCTGTACTTACCAGTTGAAGTAGGTCTGTGGGCCGTGGCAGTTGCGCTCGGTGCCGCACCACTTGGACTGCTGCAGCGCCGGACAGGGGCGGCCGCCCCGCTTGCCGTGCTTGATGACCTTGCGATACCGATGCATCTCCCCGATGCCGCAGCTCTTGCTGCAGGCCGTCCACTCCGACCAGTGGCTCACGCGACAGTCGCGACGTCGCTGCGACTGAGAGCGACGACGGGATAGATTTCCCCTGCCCACGGACTGGGACTGTGATTGGGATGGTGACTGTCCAACGGAGGCGGATGCAGAGGCGGTGGATGCCGTCAGGTTGGTGTTGATATTATTAGTGGCATCCGTGGCACGCCGGTAGCTGCTGGCGATGCTCTGCAAGATGGCGTGCTTGTCGTTCTTGGGCACCACGCTGCCCAGCTGCGGGGCCTGCTGTTGGCTGTTGTTGCCGCCGTAGCTGTAGCTGCAAGCAGAGAATGGAGAGGAGATTGCTTTACAGATTAATTAATCTTCATTTGAAATATTACAGCTGCCAGAATGTGGCTCTTGATTGATTTTGAATAACGTAATTAATTGTGGGTGCCTGCCTGATATTCAATTTCTCAAGTACACGAGAGTATGCCTCAGAGCTTCGACATCAGCTTCAGGGAGAGAGAGAAAGACAAACTCTGCACCCACACCCACACCCACACCCACACTCAACATATCGGGTGGCTCCTTCCTGTTCAAGGTGCGCTCACGTCTGTTATTTCAGCACATCAACTGTGGAAAATTTCAATTTAAATTTGCCTTTTGCCAGCCATCGTGCTTGCTGCCTGACGGAGACAGGCACAGAACCAAAACCAAAACGAGAACGAGAACCCAACCCACAGAGCTTAACATCCAGGGTTTGGCTGTGGCGCTGCCTGACTTCCTTCCTTCCTTCCTTCCTTCCTGCGTCGCTTCCTGGGCAACTTCCGTGTTTTGTTTCCTGCAGTTTTTCGTTTATTTGCATACACATGCCAAGCCGCGCACTGTACTCGTGTATGCCTCCGCGTATGCCACGTGCAAAATCGCGCAAATAATAATAAAAAATCAAAAGGCACATGCAAAGGCGGAGGCAGTGGCAGAGACTCAGACAGGACAGACAGGCAGCGCCTTGCCTGATGGCAAGTAAATTGGCAAAAATATTGAAAGACCAAAGATGGAGGAAAGCCAGACGAAGGCCGGGAAAAATGCCATGGGCCCGACGAATATAATGAAGAAAATTCCCAAATTGAAATAACATGCAGCATTTTTGTATGCCACCAGGCTCTTCTTGGCTCTTCCGGGCTTTTCCTGGGAACGCACGTGGCAAGTTATTAGCGACAATTTGCTTCGATCATGTGCACGGCAATTACCGTTAGACGAGCACATCAAAACGTCTTGAGTAAATGTTATTTCATGAGCAATTTGCATATCCAAGACGCCCACCCAACAAAATGCCTTCGCTCTGCCCTGCCCCTGAATGCCCCCCGAGAGTCGCCCGAAAACTGTTTTTGTGAGTCAGCTCTCGGACATGTGACAGGGAAATTGTTCATCAGGCCCCAAAGTCAATTGCTTTCGCAAATTGAAAATTGGCGTGGAAATGTGCTGCGCACACATTAAATTAAATATCTAATAATTTCTATTGTTTTTTTAAAGGTATTCACATGGGTTGAGTGATTTAAATTGATAGAAACTGTCCAGCCAGAGGAACACTTGCATTATTCAATAGCCAGAACAATGACTCTTATTGTGGTGTGATTTAATTGTACTGTTTAATTTGGCTAAGAACAACGGATGAATATGGTCAGAACTTTCGCTACGTTTACTCCATTTTAAGGCTTAGATTTCTGCACATAAAATATGTGTGCAATATTTGTGTTTGTTTTCCGTTTTCCTTTTTATTATTATATTAATTTTCGAACATATATTAGCACTATGACTTTGGGATTATGGGATCTATCGTATAAGAAGAGATATTGTAGACGATCAGAGTATCGTGCAGCATACAACCTCCCCAGCGGGTTGGGCATAGACCGCTGGCTGGGCGCCCACCACAACGGTGGGTCGGGGTGGTGGCATGTAGACGGGCGGCGGTGGAGCTCCGATGACCACAGCAGGTGGCGGCGGTGCACCAATAATCACTGGCGGTGGACAGAAACCGATGCCCACTCCGATGGGTGGCGGACGTGGCGGTCCGCCGATGTTGATGCCCACATTCACACCACCGCCGCGGGGCGGGCCATAGCAGGGTCCAGGTCCGGGTCGTGGGGGTCCGTAGCCTCGTCCTGGTGGAGGCATTTCGATTGACTGCCGATTGCTGACTGCCCACTGACCGCTGGAACTGCGGAGCTGTTGAATGGAACGAGTTGTGTGGTTGCCCTTATCTACGGATGGCTCGAGTGTCCGCCGCTAATTAAATATCAATTACACAGTGCCCGAGCCCAGACATTAATGGGGGTTTTTCTTTTGTTTGGTTTAATTTTGTCAGCTACTGTTTCGGCTGATAAGATACGATATCCGATGGTCTTACATTCCCAGTCCGATATCAGAAGTTCTGTAGTTTCGATAAGATTTTGATATGTCTTTGGTTTGGTATCTTTTGGGGCCTTGTACTTGACTACAGCCTTGCCTGGGGGGGGGAAAGCCCCATCAGGCAATGACGCAACGACATTGGCAACATCTCCTCTTCTTCTCACCCACACCCTCACCCACGCCATCGTCCACTGCATCCCTTTGCTCACTCTGCGGGACTTTAGGTGGCGGCGTGGCTGGCAGTTTATCCTCCTTCCGCACCGCATTCACCGAGTATCGCTTGCCCAACTTGTCGTTGCTCTCCTCTGCCACAACTCCGACCAGCAGAAGGTCTTGGGTGGCGGGTGTGAGTGTCTCTTCGGTGACCACAATGAGTTCCGTTTGCCCATTGGCTGCCGGTCCAGACTCCGTGATGATCTCTGTCTCCGTTTCCACCACTTCGATTGATGGCTGCTGCGTGTCCAGGACTAGATCCGTGAGCACAAATCCATTTAGGGGCTGAACGGAGGGATTGGCCGAGGGGGTGGGTGTGACCTCCACAGACTCAATGATCACTTCCGCTTGTGGGACATTTGTGGGTGGAACTGTCCACGATTTCACTCTGAGCTGCGCAGGAGGACTGGCAGGTGGGGTGGGTGTGGGCGTGGGCGTGGGCGTTGGTGTGACCTCCAGGGACTCCACAATCAGCTCCGTTTGGGGCACACTTGCACGTGGAATAAATGCCGCTTGAAAGGGGAATTCCCTGATGGGACTGTCTGGCGGAGAGGGCGTTGGAGTGACTTCTAGGCTCTCCACAATGAGCTCCGTTTCGACCACGCTCGCTCGAGGCATAAATCCAGCCTGAACCGCAGGCGGACTCGGTGGCGGTGTGGCAGCTGGAGAGGGTTCAAATGATTCGAAAATCAGCTCCTCCTCCACAATACTCTCCCTTGGCGTAGATCCCATTTGTAATGGTGGTGCAGTGGGTGGTGCAGGGGGTGGACTCTCCACAGTCTCCACAATCGTTTCCGTTTCCACTATTGCAGATTGAGGCCCGAAGCCTATTTGAACTCGTTCTGGCTGTGCTGGGGGACTGGGCGGTGGCGACGGAGTTGGGGTTACTTCAAGGGATTCCACTATCAGCTCCGTTTCCACTACACTTGATCGTGGCATAAATCCTGTTTGCAATGACACTTCAACGAGAGGACTTGGCGGTGGCGACGGAGTTGGCGTCACATCCAAGGACTCCACAATCAACTCCGTTTGAGGGACGGGGCTGGCTGGTGGTGTGACCACCTCTAGACTCTCTACTATGGTCTCCACACGCTCCCTCCACGCTCTGGGAATATAGTCTGGTTGTGGTTTGATCTCTGCTGTGGGGGGACTGGGGGGTGGTGTCGGGGTAACAGCTTCCTCCCCACTCTCTGCTACAAGCTCCGTTTCCAGCAGCTCTTCGCTGGAGGGGAGTATGTAGGGCTGCAGCTCTAAGGGCGGACTGGGCGGCGGTGAGGGAATCGGCGAAACGTCTACAGTCTCCACAAATATCTCGCTATTCCATAGACTTGCCCTTGGAATAAATGCCATTTGAATTGGCGGATCGGCGGCTGCTCCGACCTCAAAAGTCTCCACGAGGGTTTTCACAAAGCCCTCCGGCGGAATGGAATCCCTTTGAGGCGCTTCTGTGGTCACCTCCACGCTCTCTGACTCCACAATCAGCTCCGCCTCTGCGATGGGGGAGAGCAACGGCGACTGCGTTGCCGGATAGAAACCCGTTGTCTGCACCTGGAGCTGTGGTGGCGGCCCACTGGGTGGGGCATATCCCAGAGACTCCACTGTCAGCTCCTCCTGCACGACCTCTGTGGTTGGGTTGGAGACGGGTGACCATTCCACGGCCGCGAATTCCTCTGTGGTTGTGGGTGATGGTTGATCCACAATGACTTCTGTCTCGAGAGTCCTTAGGATTCCGTTTCGCAGTGGATCTCCAGAGGGATTGGGCGGGGACTGGTTCCAGTAGGGCTGAGGCTCCCACACCACATCCACGGAGAGATCCTCTGTGGGCGTGAGGAATGGGGGCGAGGACTGTGGCAGTGGCGGCGGTGGTGCTGCCTCTGAGCCTGAACTCTTCCTATGATGATGATGATGATGGTGGTGGTGCTTGTGCTGCTTTGGTTCCTTCTCCAGCACAATCACCTCCTCAACCACTTGGACATTCTCCTTTTGGCGATGCTGATGGTGATGCTGATGATGCAGATGGTGATGTCGTTGCTTTGGGACTGCCGTGCCCCCAATCGTTGTGATGTCGATGGTCTCTTCGATCGTTCTGTTCGAGGAGGAGGAAATCTCAATGGTTTCCTCCACTCTCGTCTCTTGTGTCGTAGTCGTTCTGGTCATTTTTCGTTTTTCTCGCTATTCCGAATCGTTGTCGCTCGGCCCGTTGACTGAAACGCGGAACACTTTGCTCCGGGCCATTTATAGTCGCGTGTTTATGTCATTGGAAATGTATTTTCAGGCCTTAAGTCCTTAAAACATAGATAAGATAGTCACTGTATCTAACTAATGAGGCAGGCATTTGTCTGCTGCTGCTTCTGCTGCTGCTTCTGAGGTGCTGAAATAAAAGTGCGCGCGCTTTATAGTTTCGTTTAAATTGTGAGTGCCATTTCAGTGGCTTACTCTGGCTCGGTGGCTGCTGCTGCTGTTGCTGATGCTGCTGCTTCTGCTTCTTCTGCTTCCTCTGGTTATTGGCAGATGCACCGGCAATTACCGTGAAAGTGGCTGGCGCTATTCCAGGCATGTTGCTGCCAGTTAACTCTTTGCTCGATTGCCGGCCATTCCACAACTTTTATAGGCCACCCGCGACAACATACCGTACCGTACCGTACCGTACCGTGCCGTACACTCGATAAGATAGTGATTACCGAGTATTTCACATATCTGGCAGACTTATCTGGCAGACCCTGTCTTTGTTTTTGTGACCCTGTCACTGTCTCTGTCTCTGCCTCTGCCTCTGCCTCTGTTCCCGTTCGTGTTCGTGTTAGTGTGCCAAAAACTAAAGGAAAAGCGAGCTAGTCAACGCCCACTCGGGAGCTGGCACTCGAACACGTCCCTGGAGGGTGGGTGGTGTTGGTGCCGGGGCCGGGGCCGGGGCCGGGGAATGGTCATTAAATATGCAGGTTACCAGTGCCAATGGTGCCAAAATCCACTCCAGCAGCCAGTGCCAGTTCCCACTTCCACTTCTCAGCCAAAAGTGGCACGAAAACAGACAACGAGTGGAGTTAGGGAGGAGCCGCACCAGATGCGGATGAGAATGAAGCCTGGAACTGTTAGCAGGGATTAGTTGTAGTTTTTCCTCGTTTTGGCCAGAGTTGAACTTCGTGTGGGCCGGTTCGGGGCTGGGCGAGGCTGGGCGAGGCTGGGCGGGAACTTTTTAAAGATGCAGCATTACCCAGGTACGTGCCACTCTGCTTCTGTTACTGCCTCTGCCTCGGCTCCACCCGAGTGGTGTAATGTGCTTTGAAGTGTGCCAGAAGAAAGAGCTCTGTTTTCTTTTCTCCCACTCGTTTGTTTTTCCTTCCTCGTAGTTTTGCTGCCCCTTGTCCCTTGCCGCTTGGGGCGCGGCACGTTGCTTTAAATGTGTCTCCATGTGTCGGTGGATGGGTGTTGAAAGTAGTCGCAGGTCTTGAGTTTGGGGAAAGCACTTTGCGCATATGTTAAATAGCGCCAGTTGAGGCGCTTTCTCTCTCTGCACTCCCTGCACTCTCTGCACTCCAGCCGAGATTACGTATACGCTGTGTGGCATTTAAATTGTAAGCTTGCCCCAGAAACCCCCTAAAGTGGGTTAAGGGAAAACTTGCAAACAGAAATGTCTTAGACGAAAATACTGCTCGCATAAAATGTTATTTTCATGGCTCGAACTTTAAGTGAATCAACTGCTATCTCAGCATTTATGACATTTATTAATTGATTACCAATTGCTGACGTCAAGTTCTATAAATATCTGCGGTACTAACAATAGAGTGGGTGCTTTTACCTATAGATATGATTGGGCTGAAATATCTCAGCTCAAATATCTGTTGAGGTTTGCTTAGCTAATGCCCAAGCGTATTCCTTAAACGACAGATGCATCCTTATCTGCTTCTGCCTCTGCCTCTGCCTCGAGCCATGAAAATTACATTTTATGGGAGCAGCATTTTCGTCTAAAACATTTCAAAGTTTTCCCTTAACCCACTTAAGCAAATCTCACCAGATGCTTTCTAGACTGTACTTGCTCGTATAAGAAGCTTTTCTCCATTCAATTTAAACATCTATGAACTCGCATTGCAATAGTTCTTCAAACATTCGCTTCCAGTTGGCCTGGCATTTAATTGGCTTAATCCTGCATTTGTTCTACTTACATGGGATTCATTTTGGCCAGCAGCTGCGAACGGATGCGCTGCCTCTCGTCATTGAATTGCTGCAACTGTTGCTGCTGTTGCGGCTCCTGCTGCTGCTGCTGCTGCTGCTGCTGTTGCTGTTGCTCCGTCTGGCGCTCGCGCTCTATGCTGGCCGAGAGCTCGTTGTTCATCTCCACGTGATTGTGCTCGGCGTCGAGATGGGTTTGGGTCTGCACCATCTCATATTTGCGATCGTCCTCGGCAATGTTGAACACCTCGCTAAGCTCGTATTCCTTCAGCTGAAAACAAAGGATGGAAATGTAAGTTCCACTCGCCGACACATGTGCAGCATATTAATTCCCGGGGATTATGTGCCCGGCATCAGGAATGCGGCCACCGTGCAGCGAGCACGATGCGGAGCGTACATGACTCTGCGGGACTACAGGTGCTCTTAACGCGCTGCTAATTTCAATTTGTGGCAAGTATTGACACGGCCACAGGGGAGCGCCACAAATGTCGGGGAAATGGGGCAAGAACGGAAGTGGCTGCTGGGGACAGCAGTCAAGATAAGCTTCGACTGGGAAATACTTGGCCCCCCCCTCAGCAATACGAATAGCAGAGTCAGAGCGATAACACAATCATACGAAAGGAGAAGTTGAGTCCGAATTTGATCAGATTTAAGTTAAATTACTGATGTAAAAATGTACTAACGGAGAGGTACTCGAGGGAGTATTCAAGTGGAAGACCAAAGAGTTCCGTCTGCGAAAAGGTTATAGAGGATATATTTTATGAAAGAAGTTGAGAGATAAGTAGGCAGAAAGAACAGGGTAATCCCACAAAAGATCTAACACACTTTTCTATTTCTATACGCAACCAGTGCACCCCACATGGCCCGACACCTGTCCAGGGTACGAAAAAAAAGCAATGAGAAAAAAACAAGGCAAACTTTTCTATGGCGTGCTGTCGCGCATTTTAATTTATTTGTTTGGGGTCGCCGTCATTTTCTATACAGAATGCGAGGTACGCATTGTTATGGCTGTCCTTTCTGCTTTGTGCTTATCTTGGTTTACCTTTTGCTACCTTCATTCGGTGGAACTCGTCGACAGCGGCGCCAACAACAGCGACAACAAAGAGAGCATAGAACTCAGAAACAAAGCCAGTGAGAATGCGAGCGTTGGCACTCGGACTATTGGATACCTCTTGTAAATGGTTTTATCTCTTGTGCATAGAGGGAGATCCAACTGTTTACCTTGCAAATCAGTGCAAAGCCCTCGAAATCGTTTGCATAGCTGTCAATAAGAATGTATCTATAGAAATGCTGTTTCATCTGCCTGTTACATACTTTTGCTAGACAGAAATATACCCTTGCTATGTTCAAACCACAGGGTATGCTAAAAAAAAGCAGAACAGCCGCGTGTTGCTTTTCTGGCAGTAAAATACGCACACACACACAAGCACACACACACAATAATCCAGTGTATCTACGCACACGCTCACCAAAAAGGGGAGAGAGGGAGAGAGAGTGAGCACAAAAACTGTGAAATTCCTTGTGGATTACCCAACAGACAGACAGAGAGACAGACTGACAGCGAATGAATGGCGAACCCTCAGCATTCCTGGCTGCCGAGATTACGTGTGCCTTTTGGCATTCACTAAATGACACACAAATATTCCAGCAATTTAGTTGTGGCATTAAAATTTAAGAATTTAATGCCGGAACTACGACTACGACTTTCCGTAGCAGCAGCAGCAGCAGCTGTCAAAGGGAGAGAATCAACACATAATTACAAGTGTGCACAAAGTACCCAAAGAACTGGGCGGGGCTGGGCTGGGCTGGACTGGGGCTCTCCGATGACCGAGGCTTGAACATGTGCTGGCCATAAAATAACGCATACGCATATACATATGTACATACAACCATACATACATACAATGGAAGTAAATAACTTTCCATTTCGTTGGCCATAAACCAAAGTTCAGATAGAAGTCGCTTGCCCGTAAGTGGAAAACAATGAAACGGAAAATAGCCTTGATACGAAGCTTGAGTGCCCTTTGGAAAAGAGTTGCGACGCAGAAGATAGTTTGGCAGATCGCTGGAGATTGTTACTGGACTGCCAATTGGTGCCAATAAATCCCTTTAGCTGGATACTGTACTGAGTGCTGAGACAACACCGTCACAAAAGCCAACATCCAGCTGAAAGACCTTCCCCCAAAAAGGACATTGAAATGGGAATAGAAGCTTTTACACGCCCACCACCGAAAAGCCTAGAAAATAAAACTAAAATTAGTAGTGTCAAAAAGGCGTTACAATCATACGAGCTCAAGCAATAGCATTCATTCACTTCCCCCACCCCCCATCCAGCAACAAAAGCAACAAATAAAGAATAATGACCGCACGTACAGTGTAGGCTCTTTGTGTGTGCTACTGGCTGTGCTGCTGCTGCTGCTGCTGCTGCTGCTGCAGCCACGCCCACATTGACGTCCACGTAGCAATTCCCCGCTCTATATAACTGCCCCAATGAAATAAACTATGCAAACGTAGTCGAAACATCTGGCAGGAATGCTGCAGGGTCTGGGGGCGGCACACATTTTACGGCCCATCCCTTTGGCCACATACACAAACACACACAAAGACACACACACACATAAAAGCCATTTTGATGAGCGACCCAAGACCGGACCAGGACCGGGACCGGGGACCAGGGCATTGTACGTACAAAGCTTGCAAGTGCGCCACTTTCTGAATGTCTTGGATGTCCAGCAATATAATTACAATGGTCGAATACCCCTCCCTCTATCTGTTAGAGTGTGGTGGCGGGGGGGTGGATTTTTACTGCCGATGTGACCGTTGCCTGTGCCTGAGGGTCTCTGCACTGAATCCGTCGAATGGTTCGCAGGCGGGCCTAATGGATTGGCATTTATGTATTTGCGAGTGCAGAAGAATGTTTATCGCAGCGCTTCAAATATAAAGAAAAAAAAACAATGGCTGCCTGTCCCTCCCACCTACCCCGAAAGAGAGCGTATTCCAGGAAAGTAGTGATAGTTATTTGGCATAATTGAAACGTTTTTCGAGAGGGGTTTTCCCTACTATGTATGTACTTATTCCTTTCTGGCATATGCTGCCCAAATGTATGCTATATGTATATAGCTATCTGTACATGGAATGACTCTCAAACTGTATTGTCTTCAAACGCAAATGAATGCCCAACAATCGGATATTTCAGTTTTTGAATTGGTGAACATTTTCCCTTTACAGCTACGAATTTACATCTTAAATAATTCCCATGCAAATGGTGCCGTAATTATAAGGTAATTAACATTATTTCGTCTTTTTCCCCCCCTTTTTTTTGTACGCTGCTCATTTGCTTTTCATGCGCTTTTTCTCGGGTTCCCAGCTGTGGACTGAACTGATTTATAAAGCGCATTAACACGCAGCCCTTGGAATACGAGTACGCCCAATCCACACACGCATACGGCCACACACACGCAGCCACGCACAGCCATTATATACGGGGCAATGGCGTTTGGTGTGTGTGTGCGTGTGTGTGGTTGATGTTGTTGACGCCATTGTAATGCTAATGGCTCATTAGCACTTTTATTTTTTTTTCGTTCTTGTTTTTCGATTTCCCTTATTTTTTGTTTTGTTTTTGGGAAAAGGGCATTAGCGGTAAGGGTAGTAGCGGCATTTTGACTGCTAATTTGCTGTTAATTAACTTGTTTAACCTTTTTTACAGCCACCCAAATGGCAGTGGCAGGGGGAGCGGCAGCTCTCCGCGTGTACTCACCTTGATGAACTGGAACGTGGCAATGGGCGGCAAGCGCTTGCTCTTCGGATAATAAAAGCTGCCCGCCGGATGGCCCGGATAGCGGGAGGTAATCCGGTAGATGACACCCTGCGGCGCTGTCGGCCAGTTGGGCGCCGTGAAGGTGAACCCATTATCGGTGCCCGCATCCAGTGGATCCAGTTCAACGGTCACGGTGTCTATCCAGGAGCCGCCCACACAGAGCTGAATGACGAAAGAAATGTAACATAAATTAGCATGCATGTGGAATATCCTATACATTTTAGTGGTCATCTGTAAGAGATCACACCCAGCTTATAGTTGTATTGTTGAATTGAATATCTTTTCAAATGTACAGGCAAGCTCTCAACAAAATTTCTAGATCGAATCTTCTATGCCCCTTCTCTGTTTAACATCTCTATGGCATGGCACAATTAGTCAATGGCCAGCCTAATGGAGAGGCTATCAAATTGACACCGTTGTCTGTTGAATTTGCGGTCTGTCATCTGTGTGTTGTCTGTCCCATTGTCACACAATTTGATGCTGGTGCTGATTTTTGTCGGGTTTTGTTGTAGTGCTCTCACCTCAAATGAATCAACGCCTATGAACCAGTCCGGCGAGGGAACAATGCGCGTCATTAGCGACACCAGGCTATGATTGCTGTCGACAAACACCTTCGCCTCGCTGCGTCCGGCGCCCATTTGAATCGCTGGGAGGCTGAACTCGTCGAATACGCTACGCTCGCTGGCTGTGAATGCGGCGGTGGCCGCGGCGGCTCCTGTTGGTGGGGCTGTGGCTGTGGTGGTGGCCGTAGATCCACCTGGCAGGGATTTGCCTGTCTGTGACTGCATCTGCATTTGCTGCTGCTGCTGTTCGCCAGCATTGCTGTCCAGCAGGTCCGTCCTGCCCGTTTCGGCGAACTGTTTGACAGCCCCCGTCGCCGGCTGTCCGATGTGGTAGAGCGCATAGTTGGCATTGTGTGTGCGACCTGTGGACGAGGCGGGAGGAGAGCGAGAGAGACCATTAAGTGGGGGGGCTGAGACATTAAATTTAAATGAACTTTTAAGAGCAAACAAAAGGAAATGCTGAAAACTTCTATATATATTTTTTTTTTTGAAGGATTTAATTTAGCGACATTTTCCACTGCTGGAAATGGGGAAAACTCAGAGATAGCTGCAGCTGGTGGGGACTTTTATTCTCAGGCTCTTGCATTCTCGTTCTCTTTCCCTTCCATTTTTGTCTGCATCGTTTTGTCTCCACTGCTTCGTATATTCTTCAAATATTCCTCTGTTTGAGGCCGCAAGTAATTTAAATCTGCTGCTGCGCTCCAATTCGCTTTGGGCCTCAAAGTCATTTCGGTTTTGGGCCGACTGTCACACGCCCCTGCCAAACGCCCACCCACCCATCCAGCCATCCCTGCCACAGTGCCACACTGGTTCGTTGCAGCTGCCTTTGATGTTGCGGCTGCGGTTTTTTGTTTGCATGCTTTCTTTTTGGGACGCCGCTCAGTCTGTTCGCCGCGTCGTCTGTTGGCCTCTTATTTGTCTTCAATTAACATTGCAACATGCCACTTGTGCCACTTTTCCTTCAGCAGCCGCTGCTTCTTCGTCTCGTTTCTGCTGTCTATCTGCCTATCTGCTTCTCTGCCCTTGCCAGTGCCTTTCCCTTTGTCTTGTTGCATTCTGCATTCTGTTTTCTGAGATATTTCCTCTGCGCTTTTCTCTCACTTTGCACTTTTTAATGTCAGCGTATTTATTAGTTTTTTAATTTCTTACTCATTTCTCTCTCTTACCCTCTTTGCTCTCCTTTTGTATTTAGGTTTTAATTTACCAGGTTTTATGGAAGACAGAGAGAGAGAGAGAGGAGTCCGTGACGACGCCATGGAGCCATGGACGCGGACGAGGATGCCAATGTAAAGACTAATGAATGAAGAAAAGTACAAAGAACATTTTTGCTCTTTCAACTTTTGCGCTTTTGTGAAATGCCGCTGGCATTCAGGGGAGTACGTTTTTTCTTGTTTCTCTAAACTATGTCAAATGAAATATTATTTATACTTTGGCATACTTTTTTGTCCCCTTGTTTTCTGTTCCCTGTTCCCTCTGTACCTGTGCACTGCCGCCATGGCGTCCCCGACACTTTGTGTAATTGACAAGTTCTGTGGCATGTTCTCTTGGGCACACACACACACCCACACTCCCCTCTCCTGCTGCTGCTCCTGCTGCTTCTGCTTCTGCTGCTGCTGGCCAATCAGCTGAAATGGATTGGCCCAAAAGTTGTTGCAAAAAGGGGACACTGTGGTGGGGCACCTGCAATTGGCTTCTATCAGAAATTGGAAAGTTTTTGTTCTATGTAGCATGTGGGCAAGAGTTTTCCCATTCATTTATGGAATTTGTTCCACAAAAGTTTCTCATGCTTCATTCATAAGTCTAAGAGAATTATCGAATAGATAACGAACGATGCATACATATACGAGTATGTATGTATGTATGTAGATCGATTCGAATGCCAATCAAAGCAGCCCAATCTTACAGTTGGAAATGTATTTCAGTGTAAATGCATTAACCTTTGGCTACTTTTACGTTCACTTTCGTAGCACACACAGAGATTCAGATTATCCATTAAATTATAGAGCTCGAAATCTCCAGCTCAATCAATTACCGAATGCCCACAAAATAGGCATAATAAATTTGCAATTAAATGCTTAAATTGTGCAAATGGCTGCCCAATATGGCGACCGGTGGTCAGCCATCTGCATGTGGTGGTCGCTTAAATGGCCGCAGCACGCAGATCCCCCAGGAAGGAGTGCGGGAGGGGGATAAGTGTGGGGCTGTCAAAGAATCCCACGACGCGTCCCTTCATTCATTTCATTTAATTTCTTGTTTTTTTTTCTGGCTTTTCGGGGTCAACATTTTGATGCGGGTGCTGGAGGGCGGGGACTGCTGCGGTGTGCGGTGTAATTAATGCTTAATTATGCACATTAAAGGCCAAAAGCAGCCATGAAATTACTGCGAAGCTGCCACCGCCGCTGGTGGCATGCAATGTAAATGCAGGACACGTATGGGCCATAAATTTTCCTTAGCATTCGAATGAAAAGACATTGCGCATACGCCGCGTGGGATGTCCAAACTCTATCTCTCTCTCTTTCTTTCTCTTTCTGTGAGAATTCCATATCATAATTGAATATCGGAAGGACTACGCAAAGCAACTAAAATATCTACAAACATTGATACGAGTGGAATAAATGTACATATCTAAAAAGTGCAATCTGGCACCTGGCCAACAACTGCTGCTGCCATTGCCATGACTCATAGAGCAGCCCCCACGATGCCGCATCGGCTTTTAATTGCCAGTAAAATATGCTCCGAATTTGTCAGAGATAGATGGAGAGAGCAGAGCGTACATTCAGGTATTAATAAATGTATAAATTCATCCAATATGACACACATTTTACTGAATTTATGTGAGGCACAGCTGACACACTTTCTCCCTCTGAAAAGCACTCGCCTCGCAGACACATCGAGTGGTGTGTTGTGTTGTGTTGTCAGTGTTCTCCCCTGTGCGAAAAATGAATTACGAGTCGGCGAGAGTAAAATTCCCATTCACTTTTTCCTTCTTTTTGGCTGATTGTTTTTCGCTTTTGCGATGGCTGCTCAATTTCCTGCGATTTCCGCAATTTCCACGAACAAATTTAATTATAGGCTATAAATTTGATTTTAATAGCTGCGTGGCTCAGCGAAAAGAAAAAAAAAACAGAAATGAAAAAAAATAAAAGATGGAATACTCGCGTGCGAGTGTACAAACAAACATCCGTAGACTGGTAAATTAAGTCAAAGAGAAGTAGGATTAATACACGTCAGACTGCAGGGATTGTGGGTGGCAAGGCATGGGTCTACGAGTAGACTCGTAGGTTGATGCTTCTGTCAGCACGTGTGCCATTTGATGGAATATTCCGAATAATATATGTACATATACGGGGCTACAGTTAATTCCAATGGTTAAATTTTAATCCCAGACCAAAATGTTCCACAGCCAAAAGGAGAAATTCATCAAAGTTTAATTTGCCCCCAAGACAGCCATCAAAAATGATGGAAATTTGCCAGAAAATTATATCATACATGTTGCAACGTGTATCTTTCCATCAGGTTTGATGATTAATTTTCATTATAAAGCAACGATATAGATATAAATATATGTAGAGAGAGAGAGAGAGAGAGAGAGGGAGGGGGAGATTTCCATTTCAATTGATAAATAATTTCCCTCTCATATCCACTCATTGATTAGGTGCTCAAAATATGTATGTACATATGTCGAGAGCTCTCCACTATTCACTCTTTTTTCTGCATATATGTATGTACATATGTATATCCTTTCAATCGGCCGCTAATTAAAAATGCATTTCCCACGCCTATGTATAATCCGCTCGTTGTTTGCCTTTCGCCTCACGCAACCTCACTTAATTATGTATGTCAAATTTAATTGGCTTGTCAGTCGGTGAATAAATAGAAAATCAGAAAAGCCGACCCACACACGACACTCTCGTATAAATGGATTACACAATTAAAAAAAATACAAGAAGAGAGAGAGATCAGACCACCACCTGGCAGACGATTATGTGGTGTGGGTACTCGTACTATATACGAGTATAATTTCTATTCGTACAATCGTACGTACATGTTTGAATATCATTTCGTGATAGATAAATATTTGCATTTCAACTAATTTCAGTCCACATGGCGCATGCATTGTATACATACGAATATATGATAATTTATATATATTATATCTCAATTTTAAATCCCAAAATTTGTTGGCAAGGAGTGGAAGCGGCAGCGACAGTGGCAGTGGCGGAGAGTGGAGAGGAATACCAAATCTCTGACAATGTCACATGTCATGGGATACAGAACGAGTGGGAAATGTGTCTTAAGACATTCAAAGTCACAGACACACACACACACACGCACACAGCACGCGACTGCATTACGCATACGCCACATATGCCGAATGAATATTTTATACGCGTAAAGTCGGAGAAATGAGCGACTACGACTGCGACTACGACTACGACTGCCTGTTAATAGTAATTTCTGTCATATTTACTAGTGGGACTCCTTGCAATCACGACTGCAGCCACAGCTTCTGATAAAACGTCAGCGTGTGATGTGGTAGCCTAGATTTCCACCAACATCCACCGGAGGAGCAGAAGTCGGAGGAGGAACAGTTAGAGCAAGGAGCTGCTGTGCGAGCCTGAGTAGAATTAACAGTGAGTACGTGGGTGCTTTCCTGGCTGCATCCTAGCCCACTTCCTGCTCCTTCGTGCCAACTGAAGAATGACGCCCGACTTGAGCATTGTTCGGAGGTTACACACAAAATGAAGAAAATCCCAGCTCTAAATTTCCACATTTGTACGGAGTTCTTCTGCCTGCCTGGGTTTCTCTCAGTGTGCGTCAGTTTTTAGGGGCTTAACCCCCCCTTGTGATAAGTTTAATGGCTTGCAGGGTTGAAGGATTTTTCGTGTTTGCCGCAAAAACTTATGCAAGTCCCGGCCCGGGTCCTTGGGGCGAGTGCAACTGTGTGGCAACTGTCCTTGGGCGCCCTATCTGTGCTAATTAATGCGTGCAGCTAGATGTCGGGATTAGGCGGGTATCTGCCGGGTACAGAAAGCCATCAGCCGGCCAATTATGTAGGCAAACAAACAGGACTTGTCACATCTACCCTAAGCCATCCTCTGGCTCCCTGCTTCTTCTCCTATTGACGCCTCGAAGCAGCTGGAGAATGTGTCTGTGAGCGAGAGGCTCAAGGGGATTACAAACGAAATTGACCAAAAACATAACAAGCTAACAAGGAGATGCCATCGTCTGAGAGCATCAGCAACAGCAGCAACAGCAGCAACAACAGTCTATAAACTCCTGTGACAAATGAGGGTTGCTTAGCCTAGTTAGTCCTCCCGCCAGTCTCTGTTCAGTCCGATGGTCTCCTATTCATTTATCT